GGGCACAGGTCTTCTGGAGGTCCTGAAAAAGCAGGGGTCAAACATCCAAAGGGCTAGGACCCAGGGTGACCAAGGGTACAGGTACAAGAATGCCTGCCACAAGGTACCCTGGCCAGGCAAAGAGCTTCACTTCCTCCCTATGGACAGGAGCTATACCAATAACAGCTAGCAGTTTAGGGGCTAGAGCAATGCTGGCTACAGCCACAGGGTCTGATACCAAGTGGTGATCTCCTGACAGGTGTAGTCTGTGAAGACAGATCCAAGTGACAAGACTGAGGGCAGAGTCCAGGCCTCCCTTTGACACCTCCCCCATGGAAACAAGGAAAAGATATCACATTGGAAAACCCTTGGCTGGGCCCCCTTTGGGGCCTGGAAACTCCTGAATGGGCCACAGACATTGGATTTCTAGAGGTCTGAACAGATTCCATAGGCAGAGGTCCAGACCTCAGAGAGAGAACCCCTTGTGGCCCCTGGATAGCAGCCTGGCTCCTTCCTCCCTGCCCCATCACAGTTTTCATTACCCCTGTGATACTTGCTCTTCCAGAACAGCCTACACTGGTACAGAGCAGAGCTTCCTTGGATATCTACCAGCTTCAAGAATGTTAGGTCAGTCAAGCATGGTGGTACACATCATTTTTTTTTAATTTTTTTATGTGTATGCATGTATTGCCTGCGTGTAGATAAGTACACTTATGTCGTGCAATGCCCACGGAGGACAGAGAGGCTGTCAGATCCCCTGGAACTGGAGTTACGGACAGTTGTTAGCTGCCATGTAGGTGCTGGGATTCAAACCCAGGTCTTCTGCAAGAACAACCAGTGTGCTTAACCGCTGAGCCATCTCTCCAGCCCCGGTGGTACACATCTTTAATCCCAGTATTTGGAGGGTCCTTTTTTTTTTGAGACCGGGTCTTCCTGTAGCCCCAGCTGTCCTGGAACTCACTATGTAGAGCAGGCTAGCCTCTGCCTCCCGAGTGCTGGGATTAAAGGTGTGCGCCACCACGCCTGGCCCAATCCCAGTATTTGGGAGGCAAAACCAGGCAGGTCTCTGTGGGTTCAAGGTCAGCCTGGTCTATAGAGAGAGTTCCGGGCCAGCTAGAGTTACATAGTAAGACCTTGTCTCAAAAACAAATAAAAACAACAAAGGAGACAAACAGAAAGAATGCCAGATGGAAGAAGTGGGCACAGGGACAGAAAAACACCAGGAAGACAGCAAGGGGATTAAAGAGACTGACAGCATGGAAAGCAGGACCCCAGTGAGAAACTCACCCAGAGACCCAACCAGAGGACTGAGAAGCCTCCTATTAGGGCTGAGCAACAGAGAGCCCCTAGAGGTCTCAGGAACAAGGGTCCCCAGGTCAGAGAGTAAAAGCGAAGGACTGAGATGGATGTAGACAAAGAATGATGTCCCCACCTGTCTAAATGCTGGTATCTGAAGTGGGCCCCACCCAGTCCAAGGCTGATGTAGTTCCTCCAGCTAAAGTTCACCAGTGGGTTGGTGGCCCTAGAGCAGACCTGTGTAACAGCCAGGCTTGGCCCAGGGCAGTCACTTGCCAGCCTCAGTTACTGTCCACAACTCTAGACTCTTTGCCACTCAACTTCCTTTCCACCTGAAGCCCATGGACATCACTGATCTGCCACAAGAAAAGCTGAGCTCATCCTTCACCCTTCACTTCCCTTGGCTGCCCAGCTCTGTGAAGAGCCAGTCTGCCCATTGCTACACAGGTCCCTAATCATGGAGCTGGCTATGTTGTCACTATTACAATCCTAACACCTCTCACCTCCAGGGCCCCACTCTGCTGCAGGCCACCACTTGGGCTTCAATGGTGGGTTGGTCTCCCAGCTCACCCTGGCTCACCCTGTGGTCCTTAGGACATCTTGAAAAACTGACTCAATCCATGCAACTTTGCTCAGAGTCCATCCAACATTCTTTTTGTATCAGTAGGGTTACCACCATTATCTTAGCCACTTCTCTGACCTTCCCTCCATTCTCCCTGCCTGGCTCCAGCCCCAGGGTATTTGGATACACCTCATACAGGGCTTTTGCACTCGCTGTTTCCTCTGACTACAATACTATTCCCCATACACTCAGGTCAAAAGCCAGCCCTACTGAGAGGCCTTCCCTGACTACCCCTCCTGTCTCTACATCTTACCTGCTCTGTCCCTAAGGTTGGGTTGTATGTTTACTCACTCACTGCCCCTCCTAGAATATCACTGCAGCAGGGTCAGGGACATGCACTCTAGACTGGGACAGGGCCTGTGTGCAGGCCCTCAGTAAGAATCTGAAGAATAAATGAATAAAATCTCTTTGATGGGAGGTGTAGTGGCACACACTTTTAATGCCAGCACTCAGGAGGCAGAGGAAAGCAGATCTCTATGAGTTCAAGGCCAGCCTGGTTTACATAGCAAATTCCAGGCTAGCCAGGGCTACAAAATGAGACCCTGTCTGAAAAACAAAAACAAAAACAAAAAAAAGAAAAGAAAAAAGGAAGAAAAAAACAAACCAAAACAAAACAAAACAAAAAAACAAAAACAAAACCACCTCTTTGATATGATCTAGATGTGATCTGAATGTGTCCACTAAGACTGATGTGCTGGAGGCTTGGTTCCCTGCATAGTGGTGTTGGGAGATGGTGGAAACTTTAAGAGGGGCAAGTGTGAGGCTACTAGGTCATGGCAGACTACCCTGGGAAGGGACTGGTGCTGGTCTCACAGATCTGTTAATTTTCTTGAGGGTCGACTATTATAAAATGAGACTACCCCATGCACTTGGTCTCTTCTGCACATGCCTATTTACCTTTCTGCTTCCCCATTATGTCTTGATATACCCAGGGGGCCCTTGCCAGGATACTGACTTCACGCTGTTGGGATCACATGGGAAGGGACTGGTGCTGGTCTCACAGATCTGTTAATTTTCTTGAGGGTCGACTATTATAAAATGAGACTACCCCACGCACTTGGTCTCTTCTGCACATGCCTATTTACCTTTCTGCTTCCCCATTATGTCTTGATATACCCAGGGGGCCCTTGCCAGGATACTGACTTCACGCTGTTGGGATCAATATAGCTCTTTCTTTTATACCATGCTCAATGCCAATTATTCTGTAGCAACAAAAGAGGGCTAACATTCTCCTCCAGCCCATTTCTGAGGGTGAGAATGATAGCAGCTCACTGTGACGCCTCACTGAAATGTCCAACACAAAGCCTGAGTGGGGCAAGTCATGCCCAGTGCTGCAATCAGTAAGATGTCTACTGCTCTTTCAGCATGCTGCTGCTCACTAAGAGTGGGGCTTCCTGTGTACCACAGAGCCAGACTTCTAGCCTTCCCCATTCCTCCTGCTTCCAGATGCCATTCCACAGCTCCCTTGGCTACCACCCATTCAACCACAATGCTTTTATGAACTGACTTTGAAAAGCTACTCTCTCCCCCACTAATGACCAGAAGCTGTTCCAAGAAATAACTGAAGCCAATTAAAAACTTATGACAAAAAAAACAAAAAACAAAAACAAAAACAAACAAAACAAAACAAAACAAAAAACCAGGAACCACTTATAACAAACACAGACACAAACCACCCATCTCCAATTTTAGGCTGTTTTAAATGTTGCTGTGACTCACAACTCAGCATCAAAATGAAGTGTGCAAAAATATTCTGCTGCAAGCATCTGTGGAAAATGACCAAAGGTAACTTGGGTATCAATAAAAGTATTTCAAAGATCCATTGTGCATTTGGCCAGCTGGGCCCCTGGGGCCCAGCCCACATTCAGGTAACTGTTGGTCAGCCTAGGCCTACAGGGAGAACATGGGCTCTGTCCACTTGTGGAACCCAGCAGTCTCCTCCAGGAGGGGCCTGGGGACAGGAAGGCACTTGTATACTACAACTAACAGAGAGTGAGTTAGGATCATGGTGGCTCCTACCCAAGCCAGCAGCCTCTTTAATACCTTGCAATATTTTCCTCTGTCTTCTTTAAAACAATAGAAACATTCTCTCATGGCCTAAAATTGGTATCTGTCCCCTGCAGTGTCCTGCACCCTGATGTGCTGGCTCTGCAAGTACAGTCAGAGCAGATAAAGAGCAAACAAGAAGGGTGAGGGGAAAGCAGGACAGGCTAAGGGCACTGGGCACCACGGACACCCACTGTTGTTGAGATGCTGTCAGGCAGCCAGGGCCAGTATTGGCACACTCTAGCTGTACATTTCAAGGCCATGGTTTCTCAAGAGCAAGGGGAGGGAGGGCACACTCTGCATGGTAGCCTTGGCCCACCTCTGGATCCCTCCCAGAAGCCCCCTCCTGAGGCAAGTCAGTATGTTCAGGACAGCAGGGCTAGCACATTCAGAAGGTGGTGGCTCTGAGCCAAGCACTCCTACTTTCACCCACCCTGTTCTCCCCAGGTGGATAAAAGGCTCAAGTCATAAACCAGATGAAAAGAATACAGCGTCCCACCCTTAGACCCAAGGCTCAACTGAAATGACAGCAACTGGGAACAACGTGTTGCTGGCACCAAGCATGACTTTCAGTAGACTAGTTCCAGGGTGATCACAAAGCATCCAGGCTCTGCTTCAGTGAGTCCTCCAGCCTCCACTGTCTCCTTATGCCAGAGTGAACTGGATGCCACTGTCTTCAGGTTTCAGTCCCTGTCACTTGTTCTACCTAGCACAACAGTGGTATGTGGGCTGCTTCACAGGAGCCTCATGTAAGAAAAATAATGCTGCTATGGAGCACTCTGAGGAGAGAGTCATGGGAAAATGGCTTCCAGGGATGACTGGCATGGAGAGAACTCCTACAACCCAGGCCATCCAGTGAGAAGACTGGGTACAGGTGAAAGCATCTAGGCTGCAGGCTCTTGGGATGTCCTAGATCACCCTGACAAAGGCCCAGGGCCTCCAGGAAGGCAAGAGACTTCCCTAAGTGTATATTCACAGAGTGCCCACCTCGGGAGGGAAGCAAAACAAGGATAGCTGCCATTTGCCCACTGTTCATGTGTCTGGCAATAATACTCACCACATTCCAGAAGAGCGGACTAAACACAATCGTGAGCACAGCTGCCACAAAGCTGAGATCTGTGGGGTCCACGTAGGCCAGCAGCCCTGTCATAACGCAGAGATTTGCCTGCAAAGATAGAGCTGCTGTCAGCAGAAGGCTTGTCTAGCAATGCCAAGAAACTGCCAGGACCTGCAAACCCCCAGGACTCAAAGACTTCTGGGAACAAGAAGGCTTGGGACATCCTAGTCCAGCCTAGGTTCTTGCACCAGAGTCTCATAAAACAGAAGATAAAAGGTAGAAACTAGTCAGCCGTGTTGGCCATCAGGAGGCCACTGAGCTAATGGCCATGGAGGTGCACATGGGCACTGGATGCAGAAGTCCATAGTTCTGAAGACAGGTGCCCTTAAAGGAAGCGACACCAAACCCAGATATGACTGGGATCTCTGGGATGAGGGTTCTCAGGAGACACACAGAAAACTCAGGTGGTCAAAATACACAGGAAGAGATGCTCAGCCTCAGGAGCACTCAGGCAACACCACTGATCAAAGCAACGGCCTCCTCTCCTGGAACTTCAGGAGCTTCAGGAGGAGCCATATAACTGCAACTGAGGGTGGGAGTGGTCCGAGAAAGCCACCCCTGTGAGTCCATACACAACACAGGGGTGCATGTGGCAATGCTCCTGCCAGCTCACACTGACAAAAGTTGTGAGAGACAATTCATGGGTGTGGGCGCAGTTCCGTGGCGGAGCACTTGCCCAGCATGTGCAAAACCCTGGGTTCCATCCCCAGAACTACCACACCACAAAATTGTAAGATCAACCTAGCTGCCCACCAGTGGAAGACTGGAGAAACAAGATGTGTGTGAAACAGCTAAGTCACAGAAGGAAAACACGACAGCCTTGCAATGCCTGATATTTGGGCTGGAATGTCAATGGTGGGCTGTGCTACGCATTCTGAGAGGCCTGGCAGACCCCACCCCAGCCTCCATCTACTGAATGATGGCAGGTCCTCCCCAGTGAGGCAAGCAGAGATGTCTCCAGATGTTTCCTGGTGTCCCAGGAAAAGTGAACTCCCTGGGTGAGAGTGTCTGCCTAGAGGAGAGGAGAGGAACAGCCAGTCGATTTCAATGCTGACTTTGATCTTTAGGTAGTGAGTCATTTCTGGCAGGGGTAGGGATAAGTATTGCTGAGTCCTTGTAACTCTATTCCTTACTTTCCATTTTAGAAAAGTTTTAGAGGGCTAAAGCACTAACAATATATGTCACCGCTCAAAGTGCAATTGAAATAAAAGTCACACTAAATTATAAATAATGTCAGCCCACCAGACCTGTGGCCTTTCCCAGACTCTGCTCTGATGGACTCTTGGCTGTTTCATTTCAGAATATAACTTCTTTCAAACAGTACTTCTGTCCCCTACCTTCTGAAGGAGGAGAGGAAATGATGTCTTGGTCTGCCAGTATGCCACACGCAGCACCACCCAGGGTCACCTATCCCTGGAGAGAGAGCAGCAGCAGCCCCACCCAGGTTCTTGCTTCACCCTGTGACCTCGTCCTGGCAAGACTCAGCCTGGCATTCAGTCCACACTGCCCAGTATGACACAGAGGCATGTAAAGTCTTCCACTCTGGCCTTCCTGACCAGTCAGATTGCATTTCTCAACAGCCTATGGAACCAAGAGTGGGGCTAAGAAAATTAGCTCAATGTTCAAACCCAGTGTTCTACCGCCCTCATCCATGAGGGATCCGCCAAGACACCCATGGAAGCCTAAACTGTAACTAGCACCAAACCCTACACAAACTACATTACTGCTTTTCCAGTACACACATAATCTAAGAGATTACTTTGTAAATCAGGCACAGCATGAAGCTAACAACAGCTTTATAAAATAAAACTAGAACAGATTAGAATAAGTGATGAAAATGTTCTCTCTCTCTCTTCCCTCTCTTCCCTCTCTCCCTTCCTCCCTCCTTCTTGTGCTCTACTCACCCTCCTGCTTATGGAGACCACAGACAAGGTTACAAGGTTTAGCAGGTGTGACCTCACAGTAGGGGCACAGGTGCACTAGTAGGGGAGCAAGTATATGAAACACCTCAGCTGAGTATATCAGGATGTTAATAAATGAATGACAGAGAAACCACTCAGAAACTAGTGGGAGAATGAGCCTGAGGGCATTTGTCCCAGGCTGCTGGCTGCCCATGGGTACATGAGCAACACAGCAGGTAAACCTGCCCTGGCCTTTCAAAGCCCTTTGATGCAGCCCTAGGAAGCCCCAGATGAGGTTAGGCCCCTCAGCACCACCTTGAGCTCTGGGCAGGAAGGTCATGTGCCCCAAAGCACACTCCACTCATGCAGAACAAAGTTACCAGATCAAACCTCAAAATAAAGCCATCTTTTCCTCCAGGGAAGGGAGGGAAGGTCAGTTGTATAGCCCCAAATCTTCTAGAACCTGGGTCCAAGAGACCTGGGTCTTTCTTCTCTTTGATGACATATATTAAGCATCTCTGAGCACAAGTCCCTTGACCACTGACAGGCTGGGATGGGGAGGTCGGAGCTGCAGGGCAGGGGGGAGAGGGAGCACAGCTGGCCTAGACACAGGAATCCTGGCTTTGCTTGGACACTTCCAGGGCATGTTGAAGTGTTCCCTCCCTCCACATGGACCACATATCCTTAATCAGCAGGAAGCCTTCATCAGTCCCAATCCCTCTTTCCCATTTTGCACCTCAACCCCCAGCCAAAACCTCACATTGCTTGGCCCTCCTCTCTTTACTCTAGCTGTTCTGCCATTCCTATATAATCACTCAGTCCATCCCTTATTCTCACCACCCTGTGCTCATGGTTCTCCCAGGGCATAGCAAAGGACTTTCACAGTACTTCTATCTTTTGCCTCCCTTCTTAGCCCTCCCTGCTGGCACCTCACTTCTGTTGACCACCCTCACTCAGGCCTCACCTACATTTGGCTCACCCATCACATCTCACTGGCAGGTAAGCCCATACTCTTCCACAGAGTAGACCTTCACAGTCTGCCAGTCCTTCACCCATCATTCATCCTTTCATAGTGGTTTCTGTGCATGTCAGGAATGCTCTCTGTGGCTCAGCACATTGTGAACAAACTCCTACACATTGTGAACAAACTCCTACACATCCCTCCAGACCCCTCCTCACCCAAGGTACTCTGCTTCTGTGTGTATCCTTTGCAAGTATTTGATTATCACCCCTATTTTGCAACTGCTCCTTAGGCTAAGGACCACTTTTTAAAATATTTTATTTATTTATTTTTTGTTTGTTTATTAGAAGAAGCATTTCATTACAACAGCATTAACCTATTCAATAACATTTTTCTGAGCTAGGGTACATCTCTTTCAAAATTGGCTGTACATTTTTAGGTTTACAGAGGAATTATTACGCTTGTACAATCTTTTACTGATTATAAACTCTACAAGACATAAAATTAAATGAGGTTTTAATGTTTAGAAAAGATCTCCACTTCGTTGTTAAAATACAGTTTCATACAGAAAAATTCATTTTAAGGCAACTGACATTGAGACGTTTTCACATGCATTTCTAATCTCTATATATATGACTATTACTGGTCACAGTCACTTACTTTCTGAGTTCCGTGGCATCTGAGTATGAATATAAACTCGTCAGATAAACAGCCTTCTTCTCCCTCTAGAGCCTCCATACTCTGTCATCCCTGCCAATGTCCACTGTGTTGTCAGGACCCCCATCTATTGCCCCCATCTGTCCTTCTGATAAATCTAGTCAGCCAGAGGTCCCTGTTCCAGGAGGATCAGCTGTTCCTCATCTACAGCAATCCATTGTCAGTATTCCTTTGGATAGAATTGGGG